GGAAACGGGATAGCAGGAGGAAAAGCATGCGTACACATGTGCCCATCCACACTTGGGGCAAAATACACCATTGTGGGACCCAGCCAGGGTCATACCCCAATGCACAGACAAGCTGCAGAAAAAGGTGGCTCTTCTGGTGGGGTATGAGTGCAGGAGAAGTTGCAGAAACAAGAGACATGCATGCTGCTTCCCTTTTTTTAATATAGTTCTTCCCCAAAGCAGGACTAGCCCATTTTTATCTCCCTGCCAGCACTATTAGAGACAGCTCTCCTGTTTTGTTTTCTTTTCCCCCAGGCTGGGCAAGGGTGTGGACAGGAGGAAACAACCTTTTTTTTTTTTTTAATGGCAGTTTTTCATGGGAAGATGTTTGACTGCCTGTGAGCGCTCAGGTCAGCTCTGCTCAGGTTTAACCAGGAGGGATGAGCAGTGCCCAGTTCAAAGTCCATCTCATTCCTCCATGTCCTTCCTCCACTCACATTTCCCCTGCACGCATCACTGCAGCCCACAGACAGATGTAATGCAAAGGTAACAAACTGGTTCAAGCTCTGCTCCCACCCATGACCACAGTGCCTCCAAGGTAGGGAGACCCTTGCCTGGGGACTGGCCAGCCTTGGGTGCAGCGTCTGGCAGGGATGGTGCCACCCAAATTGTCCATCACGAGGGCAGAGGCAAAGCAGCAGGCTGGGGAGATGGGCAACGGGGACACAGCTGCAGGGTGGGATGGAGTGGCAGCTCTTCAGCTGGGCTGGACACTTGCAGGGCTTGTCGCTGCTTCTCCAGAAGTCATCAAAGCTGCTGTATAGTCGAGCTCCTAGGAAATAAAAGGGGACATATGAAAGGTTCAAATAAACCATATTTTATAATCTTACCACGGCCCTGCCTGGGACCAAAGGGGATTAGTCAACATCCAGTGGAGCTGTTGGAAACTGCCTTGTCCACGTGGCCCTAAGCTTCCGCAGAAATACTGGTGAGGTTCATTTGCTTGAAATTAATGCATAAAAAAGTCTCACAGGCTAATGCCTATGGGCATGCTTAGATTTCTTTAGACTCTCTAGCCACTGGATATAAAGAGCTTTAGGTATTTCAGCCTTGACTGAGGATTCATGGATTTTTAAATACTCACCAGTCTTATTATCAGGTGATGTTTCAGCTTTTGGCTGGAGAGGGGGCTCAGCCTCAGACTTTCTCCTGATCCACCTTGGTAGTTCTTCGCTTGTACCAGGTGTTTTCCATGCTCCTACCCTCTGCATAAGGCACTGGGTGCCTTGCCAGACTACCATGGCTCCTGCTGGCCACTACTCCCTACACT